CCCCCTCCTCTCTCCCTTCCCCTCCCCCCTCCCTCTCTCCCTTCCCCTCCCTCCCTCCCTCCCTCCCCCCTCCCTCTCTCCCTTCCCCTCCCTTCCCTCCCTTCCCCTCCCTTCCCCTCCACCCCCCCCAGTCCGACCCCCTCTGGCGACTGCCCCTGCACCCCCCCTACCGGCGCCTGTTGGACTCCAAGGTGGCGGACCTGGCCTCCACGGGCCCGGGGGACGGACTGGCGGGAGCCATACTGGCGGCCCTGTTCCTGCAGGAGTTCGTGCAGGGGGCACAGAGGTGTGGGGGCTGGGGGGGGAGGGAGGGGCGGGAGAGACGGGCGGAGGTGTTTGCGGGTATGGCATACTGGGCTCTAGAAGCCGTGTGTGTGTGTGTGTGTGTGTGTGGCAGCCCGGGGGGTGAGGGCTCCTCTGAGGACGGCGGTCGCAGCAGCCCGGGCCCACTAGCGCACCTGCTCCCCAACTCGCGCACTATCACCCCGTAGAAGTAGCTTGGACGCAACCCTCCGCAACCCCCCAGCAGTCTCCCCGCCCACACGACGGGCCTCTTCAGTCCCCCGCTACCGGCTCGAACAAACGAGCGGCGTCTGAGCCCCTCCGCGGATCCATTGCTGCTGCTCCACCTCGTCAACCCCACGATACCTCTCGCACAGACACCTCCACCTCACACCTCCTAACTGCACGCGATGCTTAGGATTGAGTTACTTAAAAACATTCCAAGGGAACCCAAGTAAATATGAAATGCGGATACGCTCCGAAACCCGGTCAGGTGGGTTCACATCGACACCAGCGCCTTCACCGCGGGCAGTGCGGTGGTCCCTGGGCGACCGGAGGGCGGGGAGGCGCAAGCGCTGCGGGCGGTGTGGCGCATGCTGCAGTACCGGTACGGCACCCTGTTAGAGCAGTGAGCCGCGTCACCCGCAATCGCCCTTGCGCCGGCCGCCTGGTGGTTTGCTTGGTGGAGCGTGTGTGCTGCGTGGTGGTCCGCTGTCATAAGGTGTTTTGGTCGTCAGAGGGCTGAATCTATTCGGAGATGTGTGTGTGTGTGTGTGTGTATGTGCGTGTGTGTGTGCGTGTGTGTGTGTGTGTGTGTGTGTGTGCGTGTGAGATTTTTCTGACAGTGTAAATGCGATTTATAGATTTGTACACATATGGCATTGTTCACGTTTTTTTCTTCGTATACGTACCAAGGGTTTTTCAATGAGGAGAACATATTGTTCCGATTACCTATCAGGGTATTAAGATGGTTTGAGGATGCGAGAATGCATCGTTACAACACTCGTCATGCGCGTACATTTTTGTGTAATATTTTTCTACATTATATACAATATGAATAGTGTTAAGATATGTACATCCTCATCCGCAATCTGTTCCGTACGAAAGGCTTAAGGTGTCCGACCACACACACATACACACGCACACATACACACACATATGGAATAGATACGCACAATGCACGCCAACATGCGCAAGTGCGTGGTGCGCAAATAACGATATTTGAAGAAATGGTCCTGTGTGTGCTAACGCAATGCCATAAGCATGACTGCTGCTGTATGTGTGAATGCACGAGACCTCGAAAAGCGCAATCGCATCTCTCCCCGGGAACACGCATCGAACGATGCATAGATGGCTAAAAAAATCTGATCCCATGCCCTGCGACACCACCCTGTGCTGTACCGGCGTTAACATTGCTGTAAACGTTGTACATTTCCACTACCACCACCACTACCACCACTACCAACACGTTTCTGCAGAAACAGTAGTCGCCTTGGGTTTGCAAAATATCTGCGATGTCAGATATTAAATATGATATGACATATGTGATATGACATGTGTGATAGATAGATACTTCAGGACACCATCTCCCTGACCAAGTCACGCTGAAGGACACTGGATGCGTCGGCGCAATACTCGAAAATGCAACGAAAGCGCCCAGGCAGGCAACATCACAGCCACCGAAATTGTAATATTTTAATCAGCGCTCGCCAAGTCCCACTTCAACTCTTCGGGATCCAGAACTAAGGCTTCCATCAAGCTGAGATCCTCCTGGTCGCTGCTGGCGCTGCCGCCGCCGCCGGCGTCAAGAGGATAATTCAACCCCCCATGCCCCGGACGCCCTTCCAGACACCATTTGTGGTAGAGCGCATGCCACTCCGCTTGGTCCGCAAGTCCTTGGAGAGGTTCTGGCTCTGACGGTTGTGCGGGGATTGGCACGGACTCTGAAGGTGACGAAACCGCCGCCTCTCCCGCCTGGCAGGTGAGGTCGCTGTTCCCACTGCAGCCGCAGCCCAAGGCCCGCGATGTGAGATGGCCCGCTGGTTCTGTTATGTCGGGAAGGCCCGCCGCGCCACAAGAAGAATTTTGACCCACCATCGGGCCAGCGACACTCGCGACCTTCCTACGCTTTGAGCGGTTCTCAACGTCCCATTCTCTGCGCCGATGGTTTTCGGAGCTGGGAGACCACAAGGGGTCCACATGGACAGCCCAGGAGGCAGCGCCGTACATTCCGCATCCTTGCGTCTGGTAAAGGTTGCACGCATCAGGAACGGAACGGGTTCAAAAATCAAATTGGCTGTGATGTGGCAAGTGGTGTTGTGATGAGTGCCGTGTGCTTAGTAGCAGGTCAGTAACAAACACCACGTGATTAAAAAACTAAAAAAGGACATCGCACAGCGCCACGCAACACATCGCATGTGGAATTACCGTACGTTGGCATTACGGCAAAACCAGAACCAGGGCAAAGCTCTGGCCCCAAAGAAACAAGGTTGCGCGCGAGTGTTCCGTGATTACACCAAGATCTCAACTCTAGGAAGGCCTGCCCAGCCACCCCCATGAGCCGGCCACTCACCTCCAGGCGATTGTAAAAGGTGGCGCCAGTGACGTGTCCTGCCCGGTGGCTGTTGACAACACCTCCTTGGTGAGGAAACCGCCAGACCCCCTCGCCTGGAGCCCCGGAGTGCCGCACTGCAGCGCGACTTCTGGACTGCCAAGTGCCATCCACGGCCTGGAAGCAGTCGCTCGGCACAGCCGCCGCGCGGTACGGGGCGGCCCAGGACGATGATGACGGCACGTCTGAGGAGCTCGTGCCGGCTACATTCCGGGAACCGGTGCCGCAGCTGTACGGCGTCCATGGCGGGTTCAGGTTGTGCGGCCCCGAGGGGGTTGGGACGGCCGCCACATGTTTGCCTGGTAGACAGGCATCGTCAACTTGGCCGTTGCTGCTGCTGTTGGTGCCCTCACACTTTCCGGCCTGCGACGAGAAATGTTTTGGTGCAACAGGAGCGACGCAAGTATTACAGCCAAGCCACGTTTTATTGGATTGTTCGATAAGCAGGACGTCAGCGAGGTAATCCCGAAGTGTAGCGCAAGGCCGAAAGGCAACAGCGGCAGCAACAGCAGCAGCAGCAGCAAAGACAACAACAGTGGCAAGGGAGCAGAAGTAGCAGGTAATCTGCTGAGAAGGGGATCAGGGGCATACGAAACATCACGAAGCATGAATACATCACGAAGCAACCAATCAATAGCAGAATCCAACAGGGAAGATTGCATGCTTCCCAGGAGGAATGGCGCTGTTGCCCTCTCCCATGTCGCGTCCGGCATGAGTGGAGAGGCACCAGGCCTGTCCTACCTGCGAGATGGAAGTGTGTGGTTCGACGGGGTCTGGCCCAGTGTGGCATGCATGCACTGCCTCCTCCTGCTCGACGCTTTGGGTATTGGCGCAAGTGGTCGAGAGCCCGAACTCCATTATCGCCGAATGAAGCTTGTAGGTGATGCCTAGGTTCCGTAGGGCGATTTGGACAGCTAATGTGCTGGCAGGCCGCGAGCCGCGGACCTTCGCCACGAGCTGAGGGCATAATGCAGACGAGCCAGGTGGAGGTGCACTTGAATTGGAAGTGCCAGACGTGCTTGGCAGGGATTCCACATCCAGCGGGGTGCAGCTTTCTCCGAATACGGACGCGGGAGGTAATGAGCGGCGTGTGGCGGACTCCAGGGCCTCCTGCTTGACGGTTGGCCCGATGGTTAAACGCCGGAAGCCAGCTCGGGTCCCGTCCGCTACGACCTCAGTTAACTTGATCGGAGGCCGGTTGTACAGACTTGGAGATCTCTGGAGAGCAAAAGCACGGTGCTGAAATCTCTCTACGGGAACGGCAGGGCCGTCAAGACTTCCAGTGACTGGCCCCCAGCAAGACGAAGCGGCGTTCTCATGCACTTGAAGAGCAGCCATTGCAGCATCTGCGAGGGGTATAATGGGTGCAATGAAAAGAACTTGGATTCTGGAGAGTATTCCAAGGGCAGTTAGCTGCCCGTTGTCGCCCCCGGCCCAGTAAACTCGACCCAGGATCATATTACATATGTTATCTGTCTGTAGCATTGTAAACATGTGAACGAGAGACGTTTGACATTATTTTCGTGTGCATGAGAGCTCATCGTCTTTCAAGACACCTATGTTCGGATATCTGCAGGGCTGGAATCTTACTGCTTTTAGGTGTGTTACTTCCGTAAGTAAGTGCACAAATGTAAGAAAGAACATGGGTGAGGAGCCCACCCGCAGCCATTGTTTAACGGCGGGTGCCCACTACGTGTGTTTCTAACAGTATAATCGTATCGCTTAGGGACATTCCCGATACTTACGGAGATCTAAGAAGATATGTCGAACACCGAGCGCAGCGGATTCTGCGTCCCTTACTGGCGAACGCGCCTCGCGCGTAGGAAAGTCGAAGGTGATTGCTGTGAGAATCCAGCGCTAGTTGGTGGAAAGATGGCAGACTGATTAGATATAATCCGAGGTAGTCAGGCCTACACTTAAAGATCAGTATGCTCATACATCGTGATTGCGTCTACCATGTTACGACGCAAGACTGTAAGGCCCCCTGGCTGTAAGGCCCTCCCGTAGCCCTACTACTTTTAGGGTTAATGGCATAAAGAAGTTCCCCTAGGGACGTAGGCGCGGTTCAACTGGCAGTATGGCATCGATGCTTCGCTTTCTTCACACTCGTTTCTTCATATCTGAAGTGCCTCGGCTTCCTACTGTGAGACGTCAAGCCGATATTTGCAGAAGCTAATGCGAGAACTATACTGAGAATGAAATCACCAACTTTTAGCTTTTGCTGTCGCGGCTCGTCATAGTCGGGATGCGTTAGTCCATGATTTGTTAATACTATTATGGCATATCCATGAACGTTTTTCCATTAAGCAACATTTCTCTAAAACGTGCGGAAATCGTTGGACATGAGTCGGTAAAGGGTTTGCCTGCCCCCGTACCGGTATGCGGAATCATGCTCCTGAGCAGCATTTACGACAACAAGTTTAAGCATGATATGGTAATGTATGCAACATTGTTTATGGTTCCTGTGTGCAGGATCCAGGCAACGGATGGAATGCTTTACGATGGCTGACAGCTGCTCTGGCGGATTTCAAAGATAACCTTTCACTTGCATCATTTTTCCCTCATAAATTTCAAAAATGTACTGCTTATATATTTTATGGAGCTTTTGGGATCCACTGTTTTAGGAACGGGTACGCGTAAGGAATGTGAGTAAAGGTTGCTGGCAGCCGGTATAGCAAAAGGGTACCTTATAATACACGATGCAAACGGTTATAATTATCAAAACTCTTCAGAGTCAGTCGTGCAGCATGTAAACGCGTTCGGTATGCAGGACACGGTTGGATTCTGGAAGAAAATAGTTTGGCGAAAGTGCAACGCCGGGTGCTTCCCAAATGCTACAGCTACGTAAACATAAGAATCTAACTACTGCAGGTCACCAGCTCGCACAAGGCTCGCCTTCCGCTCCAGCACCGTAACAAGGCCGCCGCCGCCGCGTCGTACAACAGAAAACATCGTCAGCATAATCGTAATAATATATATCGTATGATAAGGTGCAGCAACAGTCGCAGCAATTTATGTATACCAATACCATCAAACGGGGCAGACAACTGCGATAAAACACCGTGTAGAGTCCTATTGCTCTCCCCTTCTCTCTCTCACTCTCACTCTCTCACACTCTTTCTCTCACTCTCTCTCACACACACACACTCACACACACTGAAAGGGGTTTAAGACGTCTTCTGTGTCAGCGGGTTACCTGGTGAACCTACCTGTGTAGGGCCGATGGAAACTGTCAAAATTAATTGTATGGTACTATCCGAGGTTTGCTCTGCTATCAAAGGACACAGGCCGAAATATGCAACGCCCAGACCGACAAGCGGTCTCTGCTCCCTTTGCAATTTTGCAAAAAGCACCATCCAGCGCGCGCAGCATCGATATGACACAAACATGTATCACACCGAGGCTTGCTCCTGCATAAAAGCACTGCAATACGGGCTCATGACGACATACCGGGTGTCACTAGCGCTTTGGGTGGCTGACAGCGGATCAGGAGAACGGTGGGTGAGACGCAACGTTCGCATCAAGAGCTTAAATCGCGTGTGGACGTACTGCGGCCATCCTGGTTAGGATGTTCCCGCACATTCCTGTATGCAACGCATGCGCTTCCGTAACTCAAGCCCACACAGAACCTACCGCATTAAATACGTTCCCTAGCCCGTGCGCGAAAATAGGCCCCCCCGCAGTGAAACCTATGACCTATGAGAGATACGCAGGATAGGTCGTACAAGAGCAAACGAACATTTGTTATCGCCTGGTGCCCCGCACCGAAAGCCTCCCCGGACCCCACACAGCATTTTCTAATCCTTCCGACTACCGGCTCGGCCACCGAGGGAGGCTGGGGCGCCGTATTACTCCAAGACTTTCTTTCCAAGCCCGGACTGTTCCGAATATCGCAATCGCTATTTCACTTTCACTCCTTCACGCCTTCGCTCCCCTTCAGCACATCGTCATGGCAGGCGATTTGCTCCGGCAATGTCGTCGCCTTGAGGACTAAGTCACCTCTGTTGGCGCACCCTTAAACCGTGTAGCTTGAAATGGCGCGGAGCTATAATGCAAGGGTTCTTTTGGTGGCCATGGCTGAGGTTGGCACGAGCGCATGCAGGATCTGCGCTCTGGGGAGATTCAAATGGAACGACTTACAATTGGTGTGCATAGATCCCCTGCTATCGGCCCCTCTCCTCCCAAGCGCACATTCTCGACGCTGCGCAGTTTCTGATTCCATACATACTGCACCCTACAAGCCGAGGAGTGCGGCTACAAGCAACTACTCACTCGCACGGTGCATTTTCGAAAGCCCATGGC